TCCATAATGTGAACTGCGCTGAACATAATTTTGCTATTTTTTGGTGACTCAGATATATCAGTTTGCCTCTTGTGCAAACGGATGCTGGGCTTTTAGAGTTCTTTATTCTTTTTGTAATTTTTCTCAATCCTTGTTTGGCTCTGATTTTTGGTTTCCCACTATCCCATTTACTTCTGAAATGCTGCCGCCTCATTTTACACATTAGATGCTAGGTTCCTCGCTTTGCGCTTGAGTTTTCTCCTCCGCAGGCTGCCTCCGCTCCGTTGGCTTCATCCACATGCCGAAGGCTGCCAGTCTGCGTCTCTAGTCTACCTCTGAGCGCCTCGCTCGTGGACCCACTTGCTGATGCTTGGATGCCCGGCAGGCGTCACGGGTGTTCCCCCCTGCACGGTCATTCGCCACCCCTCACCTCATCCTCACCCCTCATCCTCCTGCATCACTCAGGGAGTGGCGTCACCCACTGAGCTGCCCAGAGAGACAAGCTCGGTCTGTTCATGACCACACTCTTTCTCTGCCTTGTCTCCAGTGAGTCACCAAGTCATGCTTGTCCCACACCCCCACAGCCACTGTAGTTGGGGTGTCTCCCTGCCCCATGATAGTCACAACTAATCTCCATTCTCCCTGCCTGGCCTCTCCAGAGCCCTTGCTTCACACTTTGCAAGAAGTCCATGGCCTTCATCTTCCCCAAACTTCTCCCTGCATCTGTGCGACACTGCCTTGTTCATGTCACCGTGGGCAAGGTGACCACACTGCTACCAAAGGCCCATCCCTACTATGTGCCAGAAGACCTTGCTTCCAGAACTCTCCTCAGCCTTAGCTGATGGGTCAGTTTTCCCCCTGCTGCAGCGTGTACAGACGTGGTCTGGTGTCTCCCACCTCTACAAATTCTCTCTGATATTCCTCATGTTTCTCCAGCTGCCAGCCCGCCCGTCTGCTTCCCTTCATAGAAAACATCTCCTGCAGGGCAACTGGGTGGCTCAGTCAGGTGAGCAACAGGACACACCCTCCCCCAGGCGTCACCGTGCTCCTCTGAACCGCCGCGGTCACCGCCCCCAGGCCCAGCGACACCCCAGACACTCTCCGTGGGCCCCTTCCGCTGTGCCAGGACGCTCCCACCCTGGCTCTGCGCCCGGCGGCTCTGGGTTGGCATTTAGAGTTTCAACCCAAAGCTATTTCACCTCCTCAGAAGCTTCCCCGGACCATCTGGTAGCCTCTTCACCCCCACCGCTCAGCTCCTCCCTGAGTATCCCGTTTTCTTCCCTTCCCAGCACGACGGCAAAAGGAAGTTAATATTGACCATTCTCTCGTGTTACCTGTCCTCACAAGAAGAATGTCCGTTTTGAGAACAGAAACCTCCCTTGTCTTGTTCGTTGTATCCCCAGCACCTGTGACAGGGCCTAGCCCAGAGGTGCGTCCAGTAAACATCTGTTAGATGTTCAGCGGCTCACGCGTCCCTTGGGAATACAATCCACAGTCCCTGAAATGGTGTGGCCCCTCTGTGGTGCGGCCCCTCCTTCTTTAACCCATTGGTTCTTAAAGGGGCAACTTTGACTTCCCCTCCCTGCTGAAGAAAGACATTTGACAATATCTGGAGACCTTTCCGGTTGCCCTTACTGTGGGGGTGCTACCAGCAGCTAGTGGATCAAGGCCAGGGATGTGGTTCATCATCCTGCCCCGGACAGGCCCCACAAAGAGCCATCTCGTGCAGATGTCACTAGTGCTGTGGTTGAGAGTGGCTGTTTCTCTGTTTCCCGAGAGTTCTAGCCGGGCTGAAAGGCCTTGTTCTCTAACCTCCGAGCTTTGTCCTTGCTGATCTCCCCGAGGAACACCCCTTGCTCTGCCTGCTATTCCTGATGCCTGCTCTGCTCTTGGCCTAAGTGGAGTCTTGAAGCAAACTAATCTTTAACCCTCACAGCTGGGAACGCTTCTGTTTTTGGGGTTTTGAGATTATAAAGGTAACTTAAGTTCTACCGTTAGGTAAATTTCAGTAAATTTTTACCTAAATTGAAGATAACTTCCATATACAAACCTATTCTTTTTTTTTTTTTTTGATGACTAGAACTGTTATCCAGGACTGTGGTATTATTTATATTAACCCAATTGCAGAGAATAATTGGAGTGAATTAATAAAACCACGCCTATTCAGTTAGGGACTATAGTCATAAAATTAAACTTTATCAGTCTTTAACTACAATTTGGGATGTTTAAACACATACCAGTGAATTTTAATTTCCCTGTTTTTCATGTTTTGTTCTACATTAAAATATTTCTTTTTCTTTTTGAATTAGTAATACATGTAGCTTTTTTAAGTGTATCAAAGATTATGTGTAGATGATACCTTTATTTTTATTTTATTTAAATGATTTATATTTGAGAAAGAGAGAGAATATGAGTAGGGGAAGGGCAGAGAGAGAAAGGGAAAGAGAGAATCACAGTCAGGCTCTGTGCTGTTAGCACGGAGCCCGAGGCAGGGCTCAAACCCATGAAACATGAGATCATGACCTGAATCAAAGTCAGATGCTTAACCAACTGAGCCATCAGGTGCCCCTATTTTTTAAAATTTTTATTTATTTGTTTTTTAGAGAGGGTGCATGAGCAGGGAAGGGAGCAGAGGGGGAGAGAGAGAATGCGAGTTGGGGAGGAGGACAGAGAGAATCTCCACCCTCAGTGTAGATCCCACGACCCTGGAATCATGACCTGAGCTAAAATCAAGAGTTGGATTCTCAATCAACTGAGGCAATCAGAGACCCTCAATGAAGCCTTTAAAGAACAGAAGTGACATTTGGGTACTTTATTAGATGAATTTGCCAGTTCCTGTTATGATATTTGAATACCATAAATGGAAGTTGCTCGCAGTGTTGTTCTGCGGTGACAGTCTACCTTTTCCATCAGGGGACAAAGCTTTGTGACCCTGCTTTTGCCCTTCCCCAACATTCCCAGTATCGCTGACAAAGAAAACCACATAAGGTGCTGGTATTTGTAAAGACCCCCACACGAGGATTACAGAGTTCTGTAGATTTTAGTATATGAGCAATAGAATCACAGCCCACTAATTTGTTGTAAAACTACAATTTGCATTTTGTGATTTTTAAATCACAAAGAAGACTTTTAAAATAATTATGTTTCTATAATGCTCTACTTGCTTGCTGGTGAGTTTATAGCTTATAATATTAATTAACACTGCTTTCATTGCAGCTTCTTTTTTTTTTTTTCAAATCAAGGGTTTTATGCAGTGGTTATTTTTAAAAGTTTTCCAAAGAACAAAATTTTTTAAAAGAATGAAAATATTCTGCCATTGCATATTTATTTTACTGTGTTTCTAGCACTATAGAATTTCTTTCTTTTATTATGATTTATTTATTTATCTTTTTGTATGTTCTAACTTGGAAAAGGGAGGCATTGGTTTTGGTTTTGAAAACAGTTAAGAAATCTTTTAGCTTATTCATAGCTTCGTCTGAAATGTATACATCAGCCTTGCTAAGAAACCCCAAACAGGCATCTACACATTTTACCTACCCCTTCATTTGGAACTCTAGTACCAGGTGGATTTTCCAGCCACACCTTTCTCTTTCTCTCACCTTTAGCCTTACTTCACTCTGTTCTACTCATTCTTTTTTTTTTTTTTTCCAAGATTTTTATTTTTTAAAGTAGCCTCTATATCCAGCATGGGCTTGAACTCACAACCTTAGATCAAGAGTCACATGGTCTACCGACTGAGCCAGCTAGGCGCTCCTGTACTCATTCTTTTCTTCCATGAATATTTACTGAATTCACTTACCTCAAGCTCTGTTCTTGAGGATAGTGATATGCTGTAAATAAAAGGTGATCTCTTTGGAGTGACAAATTCACATGTAATTACACTTCATTGTGTATGATAAATCCTATGATGGAGAGAGGTACAAAAGACTCTTGGTGGCGTAGGATTTTTAAAAGTCAGTTCTGCTTTGGGGGTTGTATGACACTGAGAGGATGGAATATTTGAACCAGATTCCTAGATAGAAAAAGGGCCAGGAATCCGGGGGTAAGAGTCCAGGCAGGTGGAATAGAATGGCTTAGTTGGAACCATTCCTGGTCAGAGACTTGCTGATCATCTTCATTTTGTGCTTCCTCCTTCCCAAGTAATGTAATCAAGCATCATCCTGCCATCAGCAATAATCTTACACTGCCTTTTGAACAGATAAACATTTGAGTTAGGTTTTCCATTCAAAAGGAATAAGGAACCACCTAAGACAGGTCATTAGGGAGTTGTCTGGCTGTATGGCTTTGCACATCTGTCAGTGGACCTAAATCTGCTGTGGAGGTCATGCACATGTCTTTGTCTTTCTTAGTTCTTCCCTTCTTATCTCAAGACTTACTGTAAATAAAAAAGCTGCTTTGTTTTAGGTATTTTTATTTTGGAGAGTGTTATTTCCTCAAAATTGATTTAGTTGTGGCTAAGGGGAAAAGCTGAAGAGGCAGCTGTCAGAGATTTTATTTCTGAAGAGGTTCAAACTCTAGAAAGAAAATTACTATAGAAAGAAGTCATCTAGCTAAGAGTCTTTATGTGCTTGAATTTCATGCTTAAGAACACTTATCTTGGAAAATGACTTGACTGGTCAAAGGAATCATTATAGGAAGAAGGTGGGGCCAGGCATCAGGTTAAAATATTTCTATTATGACTGGGATAAAAGGAACTACAGCTATCAAAAGTCGGTCTTTTAAAAGGATCCCTCTAAGATGTTAGCCACCATTAAATAAAGATGATTGTTTTTAAAATTGCAGTTGTTAATTTGACAAATGGTTACCATAAATCTGACTATCAGTGTGGAGAGAACTCATGTTTGTGATGTTCTCACCATTTTGTGTGTCATGAGCTTGTGACCCTGTACCATCTAGACAGGGTGTCTGGTCCCTGTAAGAGTACCAAGTCACATGAAACAGGATTGCAGGAACCCCACTAATTGCCACACTTCCCCACCCCTCACCAACTCCTGGCTCATTGTTCCCTCTCTTCCTGGGCTGCATTGCACTGACAGAATATGGATTTCTAAGTCCTGAATATAAAATATTCATTTTGTCGAGATTTGGTGTTCTGAAACCGACGTCTCTTTTGTTCTGACTGGGAGGGGGCTGTGTGTGCCAAGAGCCCTTTTAGGGAAGAGCATATTGCTCTTAAAAGGAGAGAACTTTGAGGAATTATTACATGGTCAGAGTTGTTTTATAAGTGGGGAGAAAGTGCCATTATTTTTATTTGGACCTTTGTAGTTTCCTGTGTTTCTTAGGGTATATCTTTATATTTCATCAGATGTAAAGTTGCTGTTTCCTTAGAAACTTCAAAGGAAGTTCAGAAGACTGACTAGAGAAATGCAGTGGAAGGAAAGATACAGTGATGCCCTGTTGTACTGGCTAATATTTATTTTACTGTTTTAATCAATTATCTGATTTGTGCATTGGTCAAAATTTGCCATTTTAAAGGCCTTTAAGCTAGATCTTCATTTCAATAGAAGGACACATCCCCACCTTTCTACTTAAGAAGTCGTTTTTAATCAGAACTGTGACTCATTTCCTATGGCATGAAAAAGAAGTAACGGCATCTCCCTTTGAGTTTTTACTGTTGGACTGGCTCACAGTCGGCCACTTCCTCTTGTTGCCAGCGCTGTGATTTCCCCACAGTTTTGGGTCATGGTCGTGACTGGTATAAAGGCAGTGGAACCTTTCCAAATAGAAAGTTCTCAAATTGGATACAGCATAAAACAGGAGCCTCGCTTCTCCTATAGATGCAGAGAAATGCTGAAGGCGGCCATTTGAAGACAAGATCACCTTATTCTTTCCGGTAGGGATACAGTTCAGGAAATTTAACCCTATTTTTATCTGTACTTACTGGAATTCTTTTTACTTGGCATCTGTAGCAAAAATAGAAGATCAATAATCCCAGGGATCTGGGTCAGCCCATTATACAGGTTAGAAATGAAAGTGGGGCGCCTGGGTGGCTTAGTCGGTTAAGCGTCCGACTTTCGCTTAGGTCACGATCTCGCGGTTCGTGGGTTCGAGTCCCGCGTCGGGCTCTGTGCTGACAGCTGGCTCCGAGCCTGGAGCCTGTTTCAGTCTGTGACTCCCTCTCTCTCTGACCCTCCCCTGCTCATGCTGTCTCTCTCTCTCTCTCTCTCCTAGAAATAAATAAAAATATTAAAAAAAAAAAAAAAAGAAATGAAAGAGAATTCATGTGTGTTAAGACTTTACCTACAGAACTCGTTTGCTAGAGACTCCCTTTTACCACCCCAGCCCGAGCAGACGTGGACAGTACTACCCTGGAGGCCCGTGAGACGCCACGCGAGCCTGGCCCCAGCACACCCGCGGCAGTGCGCTCCCGCGCAGCCGCAGTAGAGGGTTAGGAGCGCGAGCTTTCCAACTGCCGCGGCCGGCCCCGCGCAGCCGCAGTGGTGGGCTAGGGGGAGGGCCTTCCAACTGCTACGCGCGCAGGCGGCGTTTAACCGTGGCGGTGGCGCGTTCCGTGCCTTAACGCCTCAGAGCCGGTCTTAACCTCCTTACTCTCCCTCCACCTCTTAAGTGAGTAGCCATGAGCTGGGCTGTGGGAGTCCTGCGGGCCGGCCGGAGAGTGGAGGCTGCGAGAGTGAATTTCCTGTACCCGTGGAAGGCGCTGTGTCCCCGCCAGCCGGCGGGCATCCCACTCCCGGGCACCTGGCCCGTCGCCCTCGCGGCTGGGATGGCGACCGTCAAGCGTGAGCTTATCAAGAATTTCACCTCAGAGCAGGCCGTTCGTCACAACAAGGTCTCCATTATAGGAACCGGATCAGTTGGCATGGCATGTGCTGTCAGCATCCTGTTAAAGGGCTTGACTGATGAACTTGCCCTTGTGGATGCTGATGAAGACAGACTGAAGGGTGAGACCATGGATCTGCAACATGGCAGTCCGTTCGTGAAAATGCCGACTATTGCCTCCAGCAAAGATTACCGTGTCACTGCAGACTCCAACCTCGTGGTCATCACAGCAGGTGTACGCCAGGAAAAAGGTGAAACACGCCTTGATTTAGTCCAGCGCAATGTGGCCATCTTTAAGTTAATGATTTCCAATATTATCCGATATAGCCCTCACTGCAAACTGATTGTTGTGTCCAATCCAGTAGATATATTAACTTATGTGGCCTGGAAATTGAGTGAATTTCCTCAACACCGTATTATTGGAAGTGGTTGTAATCTGGACACTGCCCGTTTCCGTTTCTTGATTGGGCAGAAGCTTGGTATTCACTCTGAAAGCTGCCATGGGTGGGTCCTTGGAGAGCACGGAGATTCCAGTGTCCCTGTGTGGAGTGGTGTGAACATCGCTGGTGTCCCTCTGAAGGATTTGAACTCCGATATAGGAACTGATAAAGATCCTGAAAAGTGGAAAAATATCCACTGTGGTGTAATTGCCAGTGCCTATGAGATAATTAAAATGAAAGGTTATACTAATTGGGCCATTGGCCTATCTGTAGCTGATTTAACGGAAAGTATTCTGAGGAACCTTAGAAGAGTGCACCCAGTTTCCACCATAATTAAGGGTGTCTATGGGATAAATGAAGAAGTATTCCTCAGCGTTCCATGTGTCTTGGGAGAGAGTGGTATTGCAGACCTTATAAAGGTGAAGCTGAGTCCTGAAGAGCAGTCCCATCTGAAGAAGAGTGCGGAAACACTGTGGGAGATTCAGAAGGAGCTCAAGCTTTAAAGTTGTTAGAAACTATCAGAAGTTATTGAAGAGATAGTAGCTGTGAGGTTGTATATGTCAAATTTTTTAAAATAAACTTGAAATTGCTAGAAGTTGGAAATAGGAAAGGAAGTACAGTGACTCATCTGTTTATTTAGTCCCCAGGTTTTTTATTTAGCATACAGATGTCAGGATGATTTTTTTACACACAATTCCTAAGTGACTGCCTCGTAGGTGTTTTTGTACCACTGATGTGCCAGTACTTGCCATATATATTTAGAGAGTTGCTATTTGGTTCAAAAGCATAAGGGATATAGGTGTTTATTGTGTTCCAGAAATGATCATTTTCATTAAGTACATGTTAATTTTTTTTCATTCTGGCTGGTTTATACCTACTGTGTTCATTTATATACTATTTTTAAGAAGTTGTGACTTTACAATGTAAAAATAAAGTTACAGAAGTACTGTAATTTGCCTGTGACCACCTATCAGCTGGGGCTTAAAAAAAGGCATTATAAAATGGGAGCTGCGAGGAGGTCCTGTGTGCTGGGGGAAGGGAGGCTCACATGCACATACATGCTCAGGTATGGATGCTGGTGAAGCAGGGACATTAGGCTAAAAAATGAAAATAGTAGTGATCTGGTTGGTAGCAGTTATAAAGCATTTAATGCATTATAAAGTATGAAGTATAAAAAGATATAAAATACAAAGCTTTTAGAAAGGCCTGACAGAGGTGGCAAGTGTTACTGTCATTTGTCAGAAAAACATTCCTAAATTTCGTCGTTCCTCAACATAAAGCCTGACTGAATTATTTTAAAACTGCCTCTGAGAACCTGACCTGTTTGTACATTAAACCAGGAGGCACGTTACAAAGTGTTCTTGTTAGGCCACGTCTGACCAGCAGAGTGGGCCCTGCCCTGAGATGCTCTGAGGTCATCCCTTTTGCTCAGTTTACTTCACATTAACAAAGCTTTTGCGTTTGTGTTGTGCCCTGTTAATCACTGTCATAAAAATTGACTATTTTAATGAGTACTTCAGGGATTGTATTTTTCAGAAAGTTACACATTCACTTTTTATTCCTAAGTGAATTGACTTTACTGTAGATGCTAGACTTTATGCATGTCATACAGTGAGGTTTTAGGGGAAAGTGAAGATGCTTGTCTGACCTCTACCTAAATGGTGTACTAATAACCTAGAAAATGAGAATGATTTTTAAATTCATATTAGCCTTCTTAATGCAATTGAATATTAAATACTCTAGCATGTTCAAACATATCTCAGGATCCAGGTGGACATCAGCCAAGCTAATTAAAATTGAAAGGTACCAGCATCTTCTCTCCAAATAAAACCACTGCTGCTTAGTTGAATTTTATCAAGTAGACAGGACAGCAATCCACCCCCCAAAATGACCCTTTACCATACAGACCATACGATTTTATTGGAAACATCTAGAAATGTTCTGACTACCCAGGAAGCAGTGTCCTATGATGGGACTCATTGATGCACTAGGCTCTGAAAGTGGGAAGAATGGTGATTTGGTTCCAGATGATTCTAAGAGCTTTTTAAGCTTAACTGCAGAGTTCTTCTTCCCCTTTGTCCAGCCCTTGAGTTTTTATTCAGCCATGTTTCAGCCAAGTTTAATGTAATTTCGAAGGGGATCAGAGCATGCCTTAGGTCTATTTCGTAATTCTCTTTACTATGTCAAGTCAGGATAGGCTGGTTTACTACAGTGAAAAACAGCCTCCAAACGTGTGACTTAAGGTTTATTTCATTAAATCCACTGTGGGTTTACTTGAATCCCTAGGGGAGCTGTCCTCCATAGGTGGCTTTGTACCTCAGATTGCTTTGATCTTGAGGCATCGCCATAGTAACACGGGTTTCCATGATTTCTATGGCAAGGTAAGAATGGCCTGGAAACACCTGCAACTAAATGCTTCAACCTAGAAGTGAGGCACCTCTCTTTTGCCAGAACTAGTCACGTGGTTACCTAACTTAAAGAGGGTGGAGAAGTATAAGCCCCCTATATCTAGAAGTACATGACTACTGGGTATCATTCTAAATAAAATGGTAGCCATTGTAAGAGGTGTATATGCTTTTAAAGTCATTTTAGTGAAAGCTGGCATGTGATTGGAGGTTATAGAGGTACCAAGTCTTTCTAGGTTGAAGAACCAGAGTGGCTATAGTGAAAGAGCCTGGACATCATTCAGTCAGTTGTACTTAGAAACCATGTCACCCTGGATGGGTTAACCTCTCTGACTTCTGGTTTCTCATATGTAAAGTGGTGGTTTTCATTTCTGCCACAAAGAATTGTAAAGACTAAATAATAGCCTAATGCTTGGTAGAGTGCCTGGCACATAGGTAACCTCAAGTGGCAGCCATTCTTATTCCTGTTCAAGTAACAGTTATTGTCTTATTCTGTTTCATGAAGAAGCTGGATTTCCAGGTTATTCAAAATCACTGTTGGCACCGTAATTACTGACATATCCAGAGGCTTTCTCATCAGTTGGTCCTATAAAGCTTTCATCATTCTACCTCCAGTACCAAAGCCCAGCAATAGGCAGCTGAAGCCAAATGAGCTAGTCAATGGCAAAGACATTATACACCTTGGAGCTTTTAATTCTAAAAACTGCTTTTTTTTTTTTTTTTTTAAGAATAGATGCTGTAAGGGTTTTCTCTAATTGGGTACATATCCTGAGCTTTTAAGGAGCTTTTCAGCACACCACGCATTCAACCAAAAGTCATCATGTTGTTTTGTCCCTGACAAAATATGCATGATAAATGTGTGGCAGTATCCCGTGTTTCTCTCCTGGCTTACTGGCTATGTGGCCCTTCAAAAAGCTGTTGCAGTGTGAGTGAGAATAACATTATTAGAGACATAATTTTGAAGCTGTTCTAATATCTAAAAAGTTGATTATACCCAGTCTTCAGGATGTCCATATTAGTAACAAATTACTTGTAATACATTGCACAATTGTCATGACACAATATTCAGGCCTTGCTGCCTTAGGAAGTAATACTTTCTGATAATATCACAACCCATCACTGATGGACACAATCATTGGGACTTACGAATGAGGTTCTTGGGCAGTGGCTCATTGCCTGGGGGCTGCCATTCCTGTCTCAGTCTTTGTGGAGAGCAGTGCCTGGAGTTGTGTGGCACACGGCCTGATTAGAAGCGTAGCCCTGGGACTCATAGCCAGGGAAAAATTCTCCCTGGTCAGAGGAAAGAGGAAAACGGAAGACAGCATGAGATCCCAGAGTTTGGAAAATGCTTCAGAGTAAAACTGAGTTGAGGGATCTCTAGCTCCCAGCATTGTCCTATCCTCACCAAACTTGGGGGGTGTAGGGTAGGGGATGGTTTGTGGCAATAGCTGCCATCGTTGTGGAATTCATAATTTGGTTTTACAATCAAATTTGCTTAAATGTACTCAACCCCTAAATCTTTTTTCCAAGCACATTTTTAAGCAGGAGAATGTTCTGTTGGCCCGTGAGAGTGTTATCACTGAACTGCATATCAGACGTTGATTCAGGGGGAAAAAAACTGAAGGTTTTTAATGTCCTATCCATGTAACATAAATAGTTGAAGCTTAAAAACCTGTGGAACCCCATTGTTTAGAGTAACATGAGGCCCTCTTTATAACTTCAGTGTACACTCTAGGTTTCCATTTCCACAGCTGTAAAATTAAAGAGGAGGCCTAAATGGTGTTCCTTATCCCATATGCCTCCCTTCCTTTACCCTCTTCAAAGCCTATCTATTCCTAGTTGGCTCTTTTTCAGAGATGATTTCTTTTAGCGGTTCAGTAACTCATTTATGACTCTGGGAACAAGTAAATGATACAATACTTGGGAAATGAAAGAAATGAAAAGATCAGTCCAAGAGGAGAAAATGAGAGCCCCTTCCCCATGCTGAATAGAGCAGCTACCCTTTACTCCTACCCAGACCTCATCTGTGTTTCCCAGCTTCTCTCTTCTCAGCAACTGACTGTGTTCCACATCACTGAGAAGGTGGAATGGTAAATTATTCTCTTCGTGTCCTCGCTCTCTGACACCCCATTGAAAACTCTTGTCATTGGATTTAGTTGTAACAGATGTTCAGCCATAAAGGCAAAGGGAAAGAAGAGGGAGCACAAGCAGACCCTGGCCAGGGACGTCTTTGAACTTAGAAGGCCTACGCAACAGATGCCTCAATGGGGCTATATTGGTATTTCGGACAACGCAATTCTTTTTGTGGCCATTCTAGATCTTTAGAATCTACCCCCCTCCCACAGGACAAATAGTAGTTCCCTGTGATTATGGCAACCAAAATTATGACACTATTTGAGAACTGTTACTTGGAACTACATTTCCAATCTCTCCCCAGCACTACATCTAGGTGACAACGTGTTATGAAAGATTCATTACAGTACAAAAAGTTGCATGGAAGACGGGGCTAGGGAGAGACACCCATGCATTGGACGTGTTTGTCATGAGAATTGGTGTCTGGGATCGAAACAATAAAGATGATTGACATGGACCTCCTATAGACTACATATAATGGATAAGCATGTGTATCCCCCAGTGTCAAAGTATTTAAACCAAGATGATATAGAACTATAATGCTTTTAACCAACCTACCATATTATATATATCCGTATGAACTTTGTTCTTGGAACATAACACATACTTTGATGATGCTATAATAACAATGGCCAATATATATTAAGGACTTCCATGTGTTAGGTGCTGTGCTTTACGTGCGTTCCCTCACTTAATCCTCACAACCCTATAAGCAGGTAGTTATCTCCATTCTACACATGTGGAAACTGCAGCTTAGAGACAGGCGTTTTCCCCAGTAGTAGAGCTGGGATTTCAACAGAGAGGTCTATCTGATAGCAGCGTCTGTGCTGTGAATAGCAGTGCTACAGGGACTGGAGTGAATGCCTAAGAATTTATAAGTCCTGAACAAGACACCCTTGCTGGATTTAGAAACAAGGTAAGGAATCAGCTTCAAAACGAAGTGAAATAAATAAGCAGTAGTATAAAAAAAAATATCAGCCGTCTCTCAACATAATCACTCCAAGAAATGAACTTGGTGTTGTCGATGAGTCTGAGGTGCTTCACACATCTGCTTGAGGAGATCCGTTTCCTTGAGAAATACAGTTAGGATGTGGCTGAGGAGAATATTGTCACACTGCACTGTAGTAGTGAAGTATCTTCACAACAGG